TATATATATATATATATATATATATATATATATATATATATATATATAATATATATAATATATACAGGATCCTATGATGACCCTTGGTGAGAACGTAGAACGGATTGAGGTGAGCAAGAAAGTTCTGTGCCGTTTTGCGACATTCGCAATAATTTTTGAGAAATTAATTATTTTGTCTCAACAAATTAGTGTACAGAAAGCGGCAGCGGAAAGAAAGATGCCTTTATTCGACGTGCGACCGTGACACTCGCGAATCGTATATCGCCGCGTCCTTCCGCCCATAGCTACGACATTGCGAGTCTATTTGCGAATATCGCAAAACGGCACAGGACTTTCTTGCTCACCTCAATTGCTCTACATTCTACGTTCTACGTTCTCACCAAAGGTCATCATGGGACTTTGGGACACCCTGTGTGTGTGTGTGTGTGTGTGTGTGTGTGCGTGTGTGTGCGTGTGCGCGCGTGTGTGTGCGCGCGCGCGCGCGCGCGTGTGTGTGTGTGTGTGTGTGTAGGGTGACCCGCGTAAGACGTGCCAAGAGAAAAATATACGTAGAACAGATAAAAATGAACAAAAATTGTAGAAGTCATTTTACAAACAACCATGTAAAATTTCGAGATATTAATTAAAATAGTTGGGCATATCAGAGCGCGGCGACGCGGCTGGCGAAAAAAATTGACGATTGCTCGCTATCTTATAGACTAAAGAGGTTGGCCGTTTGGCAATGGGTAGCTCCATGTGTGCGTACGTGCACTCGTCCATTTTCTTCGCCGGTCGCGGCAAGTCGTATGTTCCGCCTGTCGCGTCGCGCGCTCTAATTTGTCCAACTATTTTTATTAATATCTCGAAATTTTACGTGGTTGTTTGAAAAATGACCTCTACAATTTTTATTCAGTTTTACTTATATTTCTGTTCTGCTTATATTTTTCTTTTAGCACACCTTACGCGAAACACCCTGTATATACAGGGCGTCCGATAACTGATCGACCAACCGCCGTGTACGAGTAAAACGGGTCAAAATAATCGTAAAAGTTATATACCATTTTGAAATTTTTTAAATATTTATTCCGTAATTAATTAAAATGTATAAACGAATGAGCAAACGAACGAGAAGCGGTAGAACAGGCTCTGTATGTAAAATAAATGGTTTACCTCTTAGCAACGATGAATATACAGCTGATTTCGAGGTGGAGTAACAAGCGACACAACAAGTGTCACAGAGCCTATTCTACTGCTTCTCGTTCGTTTGCTTATTTGTTTATACATTCTAATTAATTACGGAATAAATATTGAGAAAATTTCAAAATGGTATATAATTTTTACGATTATTTTGACCCGTTCTACTCGTACTTGATCGATCAGTTACCGGACATCCTGTATATTTATACACTCCCACACTCTCCTTCTCATATTAAGTGGGAATGTAGAACGGGTTGAGGTGAACATAAAAGTCCCATACCATTTTGCGATATTCGCAATAATAAATTAATTAATTGTAAAAGATTAAGGAAAAACGCACGCTGAATGGTTGACGGTGGAGCGCTCGCGGTCTAATTAATATAGCGCACGGATGACGGCGCGCGGTGATTGGAAAAACAACGCACCATTGCCTATATTGCTGCACTTCTACATCTCGCCTCAGCGCGATGCGGCAAGACGTAGGATCAGAACGATATAAGACGTGCGCTAACATCTGCCTGCTATATTACTGGGTCGCAAGCGCTCCTCCATTCAGCGTGCGTTTTTCCTTAATCTTTTACAATTAATTTCTCGGTTATTATTATAAATATAAATATCGCAAAACGGTATAGGACTTTTATGTTCATCTTAACCCGTTCTACATTCCCACTTAATGTGAGAAGGAGAGTGTGGAACACTCTGTATACAGGGTGTCTCAGAACAATCTACGAAGCTTTCGTGAGAACGTAGAGCGGGTTAAAATAAATATAAAAATCCTATATCATTTTGCGATGCTCGTAATAATAACCGAGAAATTAATTACGAAAGGTTAAGGAAAAGCGTGTGCTGAATGGTAGAGGACGGACCGCTCGAGTCACAGTGCAGCCTAATAACATAATATAACATAATAACATAGCCTAATAACATAGCGCGCGGATGTCGCGCGTGATTGGGAGACAATGCACCACTATCTACGTATATTTATACCACTGTACATCTCGCCTCGGCGCGGTGCTGCAAGACGTAGGAGCGCAGCAGTATAAGTAGTGGTGCGTTGTCTTCCAATCGCTACGCGCGACATCCACGCGCTATATTACTGGGCTGCACTGTGACTCGTGCGGTCCATCCTCTAGCATTCAGCACACGCTTTTCCTTAATCTTTCGTAATTAATTTCTTGATTGTTATTACGAGTATCGCAAGACGATATAGGATTTTTATATTTATTTTAACCCGCTTTACGTTCTTACGAAAGCTTCGTAGATTGCTCTGAGACACCCTGTGTGTGTGTGTGTGTGTGTGTGTGTGTGTGTGTGTGTCTGTTAATATTTTTAATTAAAGTTTGTAAAAATTTTTTTGATCAGTTTTATTTTAATAAATCGTTAGAAATTATAAAATTCTGCATGCTACTATTTTCTTAAATGCAGAGATAATAGATGCAAATGGAAATTTGTATTATTTAAATCTCATAGAACAATTCTACAGGGTGTTTCCTCTAACTCGACCATTTAAAATATCTCCGTTGTTTTTGATGATACGGGAAAATACTACAGGGAAAACTTGTTCGATTGGAAAGGACACATATCATGACTAGCGAAAAATTTTTCTCGAGGTCATAGTTTTTAAGATTTCGAGGTCATCGCGATTTTTTAAATGGAATAGCCCATATATTATTACATATTCTTATAGCTTATTTCGAGAGCTTTTCAAAACACGATAATAAAATATTTTTTTGTTAAGAACTTTTCGAGTAATAACACTTGAAATTTCCAGCACTTTGACATAAAATACAAAATATCTCGTAAAATTTTCATCTTTCGGTTATCTTACCTTAATGCTTTTTTGCGCAGAATAATGAGACAAATTAATTAGCTTAAAAAAAAAACAAAAAATTTTTTACATAATAAATATGTAAAAATTTTTTTGTGCTTTTTTTTAAGCTAATTAATTTGTCTCATTTTTCTGCGCAAAAAAGCATTAAAGCAAGATAACCGAAAGATGAAAATTTTATGAGATATTTTGTATTTTATGTCAAAGTGCTGGAAATTTCAAGTGTTATTACTCGAAAAGTTCTTAACAAAAAAATATTTTATTATCGTGTTTTGAAAAGCTCTCGAAATAAGCTATAAGAATATGTAATAATATATGGGCTATTTCATTTAAAAAATCACGATGACCTCGAAATTTTAAAAACTATGACCTCGAGAAAAATTTTTCGCTAATCATAATATGTGTCCTTTCCAATCGAACAAGTTTTCCCTGTAATATCTTCCCGTATCATCAAAAACAACGGAGATATTTTAAATGGTCGAGTTAGAGGAAACACCCTGTATACAGAATTCTGGATTCAGAATCGATAAAACACTTTGAGACCTTTTCTTGTAAGTAATATAAAATTTATTTATAGTACAAACCGATTATGGTTATTATGAAATTAAACATAAAATTACTAACGATAGATTTATTGAACATATTAATATAATACCATAACTGTTCTATTTGTATATTTTACACACAATTACTTAGCTGCAATTTATATTTGAATTGAAAAAAATATCTAGAGATAACAATAATTTGAATGTTTAGGTCATTTGTATTGTAATGGTAAAACTGATTGCGCTGACGGAAGCGACGAAAGGAATTGCACGAGCAAAATCGTAAGCTGTGATCCACAGATTCAGTTTGAATGTAGTGAAGGCTCATGTATTCCGCTGGAACAAGTATGTAACAAAAATCGAGATTGTATAGGCTGGGAAGACGAGAGCATCCAGTACTGTGGCGTAAACGAGTGTTCAAAAAATAACGGCGGATGCTCACAAATTTGTGTCGATTTACCTATTGGTTATCGATGTGACTGTAACCCAGGATACAGGCTTATTGATAATCGTACATGCGATGGTAAGAGAAAGAATTTCTGTTTAATATGACTAACAATTCTAGATTCTATATACAAAATATCCCAGACTCACCTCCGCAATTTTTGTGGGAACAGAATGGGTTAAGGTAAACATAATAATAATAATAAGTCCTATATAGTTTTGCGATATTTGCAATAATAGTTGGTATATTAATTGTGAAAGATTAAGCAAAAAGTGCGCGTTGATTTGTAAAGAAAGGAACGTTCGAGCCGCTCGAGTAGTGCGGCCCAGTAATAGCCGCATGGATGCCGGCGCGCGGCGAGGAGGCCAACGCGCCGCTGCTTGTGCTTATATTGTCACGCTCAAATCAACGCGCACTTTTTCGTTAATTTTTTACAATTAATATCTCGAATATTATTGAGAATATCGTAATAATATAATATATGATGTATAGGATTTTTTATGTTCAGCTCAATCCGTTCTACATTCTCACAAAAATTGCGAAGGAAAGTCTGGGATACTCTGTATAATAAAGTCTAATCTAACATCTTATTATGCTTACCTTATAAATATGAATATTGAAATTAAGATATTGTATTTCAAAATAATGCTTATGATAGAAATTGTTTTATTTTTTAGATATTAATGAGTGTTTGGAGCCCGGTAGCTGTTCTCAATTTTGCCAGAATGAAAAGGGCAGCTTTAAATGTAGTTGTGCCACTGGTTATCTTAAAGATCCACGAAATCTAACACGTTGTAAAGCCGCTGAAGGTCATGCGAGCTTGTTGTTCGCTCGTCGACATGACATCAGAAAGGTAGCTTTGGATCGTCAAGAAATGACCGCCATCGTTAATAACACTAAAATGGCAACAGCTTTAGACTTTGTCTTTCGCACTGGAATGATTTTTTGGAGTGATATTAGTGAAAAGAAAATTTACAAGTAAGTGTCATAATTGCGTGTTGCAGCTAAGAAACTTTAATCAGTTTAGTTTATAGTTATTATTTTTATTTATTATTTATTTATTTGTTGTTCAGCTTAGAATGACTTCCGTTTTATAAGTTTTAGTTTTTTATATATTTAATATAACCAGCAACGTACACATATTGACCTATCTTGACATGTACACTATTTCAGAACAGTTGAATATTTTTTCTTGATGCGTATTAGAACATAGCCAAGACTCGAAATTTGTTTTGATCAATTCCGAGAGGTCAAATTCTTTCAGTGAACCATTGGTTATCATTTCAAATTGCATTAGAAAATTATTCAAACTGTTATAAAATTTAGTGTACAAAAATAAACTTAAATATTGCGACGTAATTCGCGAAAGATCGTGTCGCGAAGGCGAACAGTCGCCTGTTCGCCACGTCGACAAATTATCACAATCGCGACACACGAAAACGGAACACCGTGCACCGTAGTTGGACACCAGGTGCAGAAAAGGCCGCACCACCTCGGAACACTAAAAAACGCGATAACACTTGAAATTCGTGTGATCCTGGGACTGTACGGGACCGGCAGCTCCCCGTTATTTAAGCGGCGAGGGGGGAAGGGGGTTCGGTAGATAATGGAAAAGAGAGAGAAGATGACCCAAGAATCTGTGATCGTCAGTTCTTTATTAAGCGGGGCTCACTCGCCCCGAAATCTAGTGCGGTACATTCTCCGCCGTTAACGAGACCGTCGCTACGCGGTCTTCACAGTACTCACGACATGAGATCGCGTACGCGGCGATCACGGCCCAAGGATAGTTTCCTCGGGCGAGCTTCGGCTCTGGCAGCCGCTCTGCAGACGGGACGACGGTAACACAAAATTCGACGAACGATACGAAAAATCTAGAGCAGATAGCAGGTTTTAGGCGACGGCTTGCCCTGCAGGTGGCCGGTTCCTCGGCGGTCCTCTCTTTCCTGCTCGCTTGGCTCAGGCGCTCGTCTGCTCATGCCTCCGCTCGGTCGCTCGCTCGTCTTTCCACCCTCGCACACACACAAAAAAATCGGTGCGCTGCTTCGCACGTTATTAGCTTCTCGCTCGGGGTTTTGCCGTTAGCGATAACTTCGGTATTGTTAGCGGTTTTAAGCTGCGCTCACGGCGATGGTCACGGCTAGGCTGTTGGATCGGCCGTTCTTCTCCGATCCCAAATCCTGAGAGATCCCTCCTCGTCGCTCTTCTCCTCGGCTAGGATTCCAAATCTTTAGAAAATCCTCGCGACTTTGATCGGCACATCATTTCTTCTAACCGGGATTTCTTCGGAAAAATATTGTCTTCCCGATATCGCTCTTTGCTCCTCACCACTGTATTCGCCAAACGTCAGCTGGAACGTAAACACAGCTGACACGGTATCGAATCTTAACACGCCAGCCAGGTTCTCGTGTTATCGAATATTCTGGAGCCGTAGAATATTCGGAAACGTCAGAGACTAGTAGAGTGATCAGAATAAGCGAGAATATTACAGCGCTAAATAATGCGAGAGCGATCACCTGAGCGAGAGCGATGAGCGACGAACTGACGACTAACGTTCCTCCGTCCCACGTCGTACTCGGATTCCTCTGGTCCTGGTGGCCGGCAAGGGAAGCTGAGGGGGTACAAATTCTGGGACGAGATGACCTACTCATTTGCTCTATACCTGCTCGCAATGATTTTCCTACTGACTCAAAAGACGAAAAAGAAAGATACTCCGGGACACGATAATCGGAAATAGTCGCGAAATCAGTACGCTTCTTATTGGGACGGGCGCTTCCGAGGCTGCTATGTCACAATATAATACCATCATGATTGCTCATATTGCATCTATATTCTTTATTTCCTCTCACTTTTTTCTATCTTCAATTTAATCTATTTTATTAATCTTTCATATATCTTAGGTCTCTTTGTATCAATTTCGATTAAAGCTTAACTCAAATTTAAATTTTTGTCTGAATAGAATCTAAATTCGGATTAAGATTTACTCGGTAGAAACAAGTATAAGTAAACTAATTAAGGTTCCTCTTGCCGTGGTTATTTTTTATTTATTTATTTATGACATTATTTATTCATTTTTTATTTATGACAGAAGTTAAAAAATGCTCAAAAATTTTATAAAGTACGTCGAAACAGAAAGTTATATCCAAGAAATGACACTTAAAATTGATTAGGCATCCTTCTAAACTCTCCGTATACTTTCCTTTTGCTCTAACAATCAATAGATTCATAGAAGTAATGTAACATGCAACTATTTATCTTTTTAACCCATTAACGCCCACAGGACAGAATTTCGACATTGAAGTTCGAGTTGATGCCGTTCAATGAATTTGAGAAAAACAAAGTTCCAAACTACCTTTTCCTATGTTTTTGAGGGTGCTCTTTCAAATGGTGATGGTTAAAAAATTCTTAAAAAATATTTAACCATGGAAAAATTAAAATTAATCCAAAGAAACGTCATTTTTCGCTTGCATTTTTTTTTTGTAATGACTTTTCGTTCTCTTTTCATTTTTTTTTATGACTTAAACCTATTCAGATCGTGGCCTCGATGTCTGAACTTAAAATAAATAAAGTTAGTAAGGTCTAAAAAATTGTTACTAAAACAAAATGGCGGCCTAATTGAAAATTTTTTTTTCAAAACTTTACGAATTTTTTTCTCGAAAATGATAGACTTTATCAAAAATTTTCTAAGAACAAAAATGTCTTAGAATTGGTCAAAGAGTACTCTCAAATTTTTTCAGAATGTTCCGAAGCAATTTTCGATTTTTCGAAAAATCGTAAAATCGATATTTTGAAAAATTTCATCAAAAAATCTGAAAAAATTTGATAATATTCTTTGACTAATTCTGAGACATTTTTGTTCTTAGAAAATTTTTGATAAACCCTACAAGAAAAAAAATATGTATGCTTTACGAAAAAAAACTTCCAAATTTTTGTTTGATATTGAAGAATACGTCTTTAGCCATTTATATTTTATAAATGTTGCCCGATTCTCACCGCGAGGAGGTAGACGTCACCGAGAATCTTTATTTATTTATTTTTATTTTTTTTTATTTTTTTTTAATTTTTTTCTTTCTTTAATTTTTTTTTAATTTTTTTTCTTTCTTTAATTTTTTTTTATTTTTTTTCTTTTTTTCATTTTTTTTTATCATTTTTTTCTTATTTATTTGTGAGTTTTATTGAAACATTGAAGACAGAAATATAAATTGCAGTCCTCACAAATCTTATGACTTCTGACTGAACATTTTCCGTCATTACAATATTTTTTCACATCATGCTTGAGTACATGAGTTTCTTTTCTTTTTATCTGCGATTTTGCCAGATAATTTCGACTGATATCAAGAGCAAATTCTTTTGACCCTACTTTACGATCATCATTGTTACATATATTATATAAAACAGTGGCGTTAGTTATAGATGATTGTATCAAGCGAATGAAAACAACCCATGTCCACTTTTTTGATCTTACTATCGGGAGAAGCCTATTGCAGTGTTGATCGTGTACATCAACACCTCCCATAAATTTATTATAATACGTGAAAGCATTCGGATATTGTAAATTTGTTTTCTTTTTCTCTGTTTTATTATAACGATTAATAGTTGATAGTGGTGTAACACCAGCAGCAGTTGACAGAATCGAAACAGGTTTGGAATCAACGACTGTTATAAAATTCATTTTGCTGCCTTTTTCGTGCTTTACTACGTATGTGCCTTTAGCAGCTTTTTTATCCACTTCATTTTTTTCCGAAATTCTGTCACTTCTAACCGTACCAGTAGCTCTAAGACCGATTTTTTTCATGTGCACCAACAAATCCGGACTAGTAAACAGGTTGTCAAAGTAGATATGATATTGAGGCAATTTTCTTTTAGAAGTTTCTATAAGTAAATGTTGCAGCATTTGAAGAACGACTCGACTTCCTTGGGCACAGTTAGGTAAAAAATCGCCTGAAGTTGACTTTTTTCCACAGTATATATCGCAGTCAAATAAGTAACCTTCGGCACTGCATAAGGCCCACATCTTGATCCCAAATCTAATGGGTTTAGATTTTATGAACTGTTTGAGGGAATTTCTTCCAAAATATTTAATCATCATCTCATCGATAGAGAGAGCAGTCGAAAAAAATCCAAATTGCCTGATGTTTTTTCTGAATATATTTAGGATTTTTCGGACACGCCAAACTTTGTCATTGTCGTTTTGATCATTTGGCGTTGAATATTTTAAGAATGATTTTATTTTTTCAAATTCATTCCGCGACATTGCTGATTTTACTTTTTCCGATTCCAATAACGGATCGGTAGACCAATAGTCTCTTTGAGATAGCCTTCTATTGAAGATGGAAAATATAACTATTCCAATAAACATCTCTAATTTATCTAGAGAAATGTCACAACCATTAGCAATCGTACAAGGTATAATGTACTCCTTCAAATCAGATGAAAAAAATAACTCAAACAGTTCCGTAAAAGTAAGAGATGCTAACTGTTTTTTATCCTTCTCAGAGAGCAGTATTTCATTTGTCAAAATTT